TACACAGAACATGGAAATGCAATTATTTTAGTAAATATAAACTTCTAAATACCTTTTCTCATCAGCAGTTAGAGCAGTCTTGTGACTTCTATCAGTGTCCAGCAGAGCACTGGTTAACATTTGTAGGAGGAGTCTTCATTCTCCCCTGATCGTCCTATGAGTATGCATAAACCTTGACCCTCTGTCTGGACAGTGCTGATGGCTGTTTTTTAAAAGTCAGCAGCTGCATTTTTTTGTAGCTAACTTTTATTTTTTGACAGGTGAGTGGAACTCCGCTTTAAGTGCTGGTTCACACAGATGGGGTGCGGGATCCGCAGTGATTCATGTGCGTTTCCCGCACTGCATCACAATCGCACTCTGCTCATGTGAACTACTGCAGGTATCTTTGTTAACAATGCCCCAAAAACCAGTTCACAAAACGCAGTTCTATTGGCTGAATTGGAGTGCATGGGTGTGAACATCCATGCAATCCGATTCCTGTTCGGAAAAGAAAAAGTGCCTGCACCTTTCATGTGGGTGCGGTGAGATATGCGCCATACAAAAAACTAATGGCTCAAATTGCACTGCAAAGAATGCAGTGCGATTCCTGTCCAAATCACATGCGCTTTCCCACACTGCAATTATGTGAACTGGGACTTCCAGAAATAGTGAAAATGTGAACTAACACTGTACACCCTCCCCACCTTCCCGGTCCCTGCAGTACTTACCTCCAGGAATGCTGAGCTGTCAGTGCTCATGCAGCCGCTCCAGCAGTCCAGGGATTTTATCTCCCTGCTCTTCTCCCTCTTCTCTGTGCAGCACTTGCAGGATGGACCACAGTGATTCTGGTTGGTCAGCGTCTGCACAGTCTATTACTCAGTGCCTCCTGCAAATCTGCAGATTCCTTTGTTTTTGTTGCTGTGATCCAACTTGTCATTGGAGGGTGGCTATGTACATTCTCCATGGTTCCACTGTATGTAGGTACATAGCCACCCTCCCTTCCTTACTTCTGAGATGGACTGTAGGATTTGTACACATGGCTGCAACTAGCGTGTACTGCTTTTTTCAAAGAAACAGATGTGAGGGGGAAAAAGGAGAGGTTTGAGAGTTCACAGGTTACAAAGAGGCAGAAAAACACAGTAAGAGATAAGGTTGCACCGATACCGATTTCAGTGCCTTTACCGAGTCTTTGTGGTGTGATCTGAGCTCATACACAATGAATTGGCCCAAATAAAGAATTGCATGCAATTTGGAAAAGAATGCAGTGCAAGTCCTATCCAAAGTGCATGCGATTTACCCCCCCCCCCCCCCCCCCCCCCCCCCCCCCCCCCCCCCCGTTGTGTGATCCCAGTATAGAGAGACAGGGAAGTGCCATCTAAGAAGTGCAGCAATGGGCAAACAGATTAAAATGTTATCACAAATCACATGTTAACAGTGGATTATACACTATGGTGTCCGTTTATGAACCAGCAGTAATAGATCGCTGCTCAGTTCTCCGGCATTCTTGGAGAACGCAGTTCTCCTGTGAATGCCGTTTATGAAGCATATGTAGATCAGTTCTCCAAACGAAGGGAGAACGGTCTACAAACGCTGGAAAACGGCTGATTTTACTATAATCTCACGAGATTACAGTAAAAGATCAGTTTACTAAACAGAGGTAAATTATCTCTGCTTAGTTTTCGGTCCCTCCGATTCTCCAGCTCTGGGCTGGAGAATCTGGAGGGAGAACACAGATCTCCAGTGAAGGGCTGAACATGTTCTCCTGGGTGTCATAAACTGTGAATGACCAGAGAATAGCTGCGATCCTCTGAATCGCAGCTATTCTCTGTGTCATAAACGTACACCTATATTGCCAAGAGTATTGGTCGGCCTGCCTTTACACACACATGAACTTTAATGGCATCCCAGTCTTAGTCTGTAGGGTTCAATATTGAGTTGGCCCCGCCCTTTGCAGCTATAACAGCTTCAACTCTTCTGGGAAGGCCATCCACAAGGTTTAGGAGGGTGTCTATGGGAAGGTTTGACCATTCTTCCAGAAGCACATTTGTGAGGTCAGGCACTGATGTTGGATGAGAAGGCCTGGGTCACAGTCTCCACTCTAATTCATCCCAAAGAAGTTCTATTGGGTTGAGGTCAGGACTCTGTGCAGGTCAGTCAAGTTCCTCCACCCCAAACTCGCTTATCCATGTCTTTATGGACCTTGCTTTGTGCACTGGTGTGCAGTCATGTTGGAACAGGAAGGGGCCATCCCCAAACTGTTCCCACAAAGTTGAGAGCTTGAAATTGTCCAAAATGTCTTGGTATGCTGATGCCTTAAGAGTTCTCTTCACTGGAACTAGGGGGCCAAGCCCAACCCCTGAAAAATAACCCCACACCATAATCCCCCCTCCACCAACCTTGGCACAATGCAGTCAGGCAAGTACCATTCTCCTGGCAACTGCCAAACCCAGACACGTCCATCGGATTGCCAGACAGAGAAGCGGGATTCATCACTCCAGCGAACACGTCTTCACTACTCTAGAGTCCAGTGGCGGCGTGCTTTACACCACTGCATCCGACTCTTTGCATCGCACTTGGTGAAGTAAGGCTTGGATGCAGCTGCTCGGCCATGGAAACCCATTCCATGAAGCTCTCTACACACTGTTGTGCTAATCTGAAGGCCACACCAAGTCTGGAGGTCTTTAGCTATTGACTCTGACGACAGTTGGCGACTTCTGCGTTGTTTCCAGTTGCTTCCACTTTGTTATAATCCCACTAACAGTTGACCGTGGAATATTTAGTAGCCAGAAAATTTCATTAATGGACTTATTGCACAGGTGGCAACCTATCACAATACCACACTTGAAGTCACTGAGCTCCTGAGAGCGACCCATTCTTTCACAAATGTCTGTAGAAGCAGTCTGCATGCCTAGGTGATGATTTTATACACCTGTGGCCATGGAGGTGATTGGAACACCTAAACCTGAATCCAATGATTTGGAAGGGTGTCCCAATACTTTTGGCAATACATATAGTGTATCTTGCATGTCTGATACAAAACTGGCCGCTTGCAGTGCTCACAGGGCTGGAGAAGAGGTACAAGCGGTCCGCCCCCAAGCTGACATCACTTTCACCATATACCCACAGGGGTCCGGGAACTTCTTACATCTCCTCCGGCCCTGTGAGCACCACAAGCGGACACTTTTGGATTTGACATACAAGATATATTATGTACTTTTAACATTTGAGTTGTGATAACATTTTAAACTGTTTGCCCACGATTCACATTTGATAAATTGCTTTTCAGAGGACACTTGCAGGCAGTGAGAAGGAGTTATATATTGCCTCCTCACTGCCTGATTTAACCCTGTAATGAATCTCTGCCATGCTGAAATCACATGCATTGAACATGGTTTTAGCACAGCTCCACTGAACTCAATGGGAAAGTTTGACAGGCAGTGTCACTTGTCAAACATTGCTTCTGAGAGTTAAAAATGTCATGGCGGTGCTATTGCATATGTACAGCCTCGTTCAGCTGTAGTGCAAAAATTGGGGTGGGTGGCCGGGGGCAGTAAAACTGCTGCTCAGTGGCCTGTTTTTACCACCACCTCCCCCCTCATCTGAAAGAACCCTTAAAGTGATATTAAAGATACATTTTCAATTTTTTTTTTAAACAAACATGTCATATTTATTTGCTCTGTGTAATAGTTTTGAACAGAGTAGCCACAAACCTCCTCTTCTCTTGTCCCCTGTCGGTGCTCCTGGCTCATCCCTCCTGCTGGGGCATTTGTGTATGTTCGCTCACATGTCCCGTTCTCTGCTCCCTCCTCACTTGCTGTGATTGACAGCAGCAGGAGCCAATGACTCCTGCTGTTGTCTCTGGGCCAATGAGGAGCAGGGGCGGACTGACCATTTGGAAACTCGGGCACTGCCCAAGGGCCCGGGGTCAGTAGGGGGCCCCATGAGATGCCCCTGATACCTTTTTCATAGGCTTTTTTAAGTTTGGGCAAGGACATAGGGGCCCCATGATCCCCTATTGCCCGGGGGCCCCATGAGTTGTCAGTCCGCCCCTGGGAGGGAGAGAGCCTGGAGAGTCGCTGCTCTGGTGTATATCGCTGGATTGAGATTGGACTCAGCTAAGTATTGTGGGGGGGGGAGAATACATAGAATGCACGAAGGCAAAAAAAACCTTCAGCTTTTATAACCACTTTCAGCAACCTCTTACCACCCACGTAATGCATAATTTTTTATTGATTTCAGTACTTATATAGTGCTTTCAATTTACACAGCGCTTTACACATATGCATTGAACATTCACATCAGTCCCTAACCCTCAAGGTGTGTACAATCTAAGGTCCCTAGGTCATACACATATTAGGGCCAATTTAGACAGGATCCAATTAACCTACCAGCATGTCTTTGGAGTGTGGTAGGAAACCGGAGCATCCAGAGAAAACCCACGCAAGCACCGGGGAGAACATGCAAACTCCATGCAGGAGGCGCCATGGTCAGGAATCGAACCCATCACCCATTTACTGCAAGGCAGACATGCTAACCACTAAGCCACTGTGCCGCCCGTTGACAGAGAATCACATAATCGGCTAATATTTCTCTTTACCCAGGCATGCAGACCGTATTAAAGGGACGCCAGAATGGATTAACAGTCCAGCGAAGAGCAAATAGGATAGTACTCTCTCAATTTAATTATTTAAACTCATGACATGCAGAGGATTTATGTTATGGTGATATATATTATTATTACTTAGCTAACGTGTGTGGCCTGCGGCATTCTCAGATAAAGTATTATTCAGACTCTGTGTATAAAAATCTGTATTTATCATATTCATTGTCTCCAATATTTAAATCTCTTAATTTTATCTCTGCAGGTTGCATTGCACAGTGGAGATGATGCAAATTTAGCCTCTACATATCCAACCATGAACAGCAGCTTGGTCCCGGACTTGTATGGTGGACCCACGTCCCCATCTAATACCACCCACCTCACTGAACAAAAGATCTCAGTGTTCTTCAGCATCGTTTTCATGACCGTGGGAATTACATCAAACATCCTCGCAATAGCAATACTCTTGAAAGCCTACCAAAGATTTAGGAAAAAATCCAAAGCCTCGTTCTTGTTGTTCGCCAGCGGCTTGGTCATCACGGACCTCTTTGGACACCTCATTAATGGAGCCATAGCTGTGTACGTCTATGCATCAGATAGGAACTGGTCAAAATTCGACCATGCCGATGTTCTTTGCAGTATCTTTGGCATGTGCATGGTGTTCTTTGGACTGTGTCCGCTGTTGCTTGGGAGCGTCATGGCAGTGGAAAGGTGCGTCGGAGTCACTGAGCCAATCTTTCATTCTACCACCATGACGTCAAGGCACGCCAAAATCATCTTGACTTGTGTTTGGCTGTTTGCCATCCTGGTGGCACTGCTGCCAATATTGACTTTCAGATATTATCACATCCAGGCCACCAAGACGTGGTGCTTTCTAAAGACAGAGCAGATCGAAAACTGGATGGATCAGTTTCATCTTCTGCTGTTCTCATGTCTGGGGTTCTTGTCCCTGGCCATCTCTTTCTTATGCAATGCTATGACTGGAATAACATTACTGAGATCCAGGATGAGAAGCCAGCAGCACAGACAAGGCAGATCACATCATATAGAGATGATAATCCAGCTTCTGGCCATCATGTGTGTCTCTTGTATTTGCTGGACTCCATTCTTGGTAAGCTCTCATCCACATCAGGAAATGTTTTTGTGTACTTAAGACGTTGCCTATCTTGTCAATAAGTTAAACACGGAACTAGTTTTATGCTTGCCAGATTTTTTTTTTCTTAAAGCAAACCTGTACTAAATGGAATATGTACAAAGTCATTGTTGACCTTCTTTTTAAAATATTAGTTGCCTGGGTGTCTCGGGACAAGAGTTATCTTCAGAGGAGCGGTGGGTTTAGATGTACATCTAAACCTAGCCCTACAGACACTTTTGCCCATCCTTACGCAAATTTTGATGTCCATCTATAGTCAAGAAAAGTCACCCCAATGCTAATTGATTAAATAAAAGTGGTTGTAAACCTCAGACGTGAAATGTGGACAAAGCATATCCCTCTATAGTGTGTACTTGTCTCAATCCAGAGCGCTAAGTGCCATTTCTGTCTGCTGCTTCATTCCTCTGCTGTCAGCATGGGGGAGATTTACTAAAGCTGGTTCACTCGGAATCTGGTGCAGCTGTACATGGTAGCCAATCAGCTTCTAACCTTAGCTTGTTCGGTTAAGCTTTGGCAATAAAAGCTGGAAGCTTATTGGTTTTTATTCAGAAGCTAACCTGATTTTGCACTCTCCAGCTTTAGTAAATAAACTCCCATGAGTCACTTCTGACAAGTTTTCCTGACAACAAGAGAAAAATGATGACTGAGGAAGGCACAGCCTGTGATTGACAGCCTCAGCTCTGTGTGCTGTATGAAGGGGGGTGTGTCCCTTCCCTCCAATCAGCTATCAGAGCTCTCCTCACTTCAGCTCCCCACCCCCTGCTTTTCAGAGCTGAGATTTCCTGTGTAATTTCTGCACTTTGAATGCATGTAGGGGACAGACTGCTGTAGATAATTAGCTACAACTTATGTAGGATGATTTGCTTCTTCTATGTGTATCACCTGAGGCCAGTCACTTCACTGAGTATATGTAAGGGTTTACAACCACTTTGAATTGCCAGGCCTGGGAAGCATTAATATTTTTTTAATGTGTATGAACACCTCCTCCTAGTCATTTTTCATGGAAAATGGTCTTCGATTTATTTTCTCCTTGCACCAAATTATTTAAGCAGAAGGTTTGCTTGTTTGGACCACTTGTCTTGTAAAAGTTTCTAACACTCCAGCTTTTCCAGGCGTGGCCGGATTTTGGTGTGCTTACAACTGGAACACAGTTAAGTTTGTGTATAGCAATGAATAATGTTGGAAGCTGAGAGGATAAGAAAATCTTTATACTCAGCTGAGGGTTTGCACATCACACCATCTGCAGGCGTCCCAAATACCTTCCACCTCTCTCTTTTAGCCAATCCTGCTTAGTGAGCGGTCAGATAATTATCTATAAAAATATCCTATTTATATTGAACGTCTTATTTGTCCGACCTGGAACACTTTGTACGTGGCTAAAATTCCTGCTGACATAATACACTTTTCAATTTATAGTCTGAAAGTACAATTAAGTCCATCCAAACCCTAAAACAAAATGTCATATATTGCAGATTACCAGTCCTTAGATGTGGTGACTGCATGACTTTGAGTTTATAATGTGGTTTTGTGCATAAAACACATGTTTGTGTGCTGTGGTGTGATTCATTGTTGATAGCACCCCACCAATGGATGTGCATTGCAGGGCACTTCAACGCTAGGCAGTGCACTACTGTGTGTTACTGTGCACTGCGTTGAAAAAAGTGCCTTTTGTGGTGCTTTTTGAGGTGTTAGCAGCCCATTTAAATGAATGTGTGGAAAATAGGTAGCACACAATAAAAAAAATCTCAGTCCTTGAATTAGGTCATAAATGTAAAACAAAAAAAAAAAAAAAAAGATACCACTAATGTGTCGGTTTATAGGCAACAAACAAATGTGTGTCTTGGCAATCACAATATATACTGTATTTACAACAATTGATTATCCAAACATCAATACGCCTGCAGAGTTATCCATGCTTGGTCCTGTGCATGGCAAAAACAGGAGATTTAAAAAAAATACCCCTTACATACTCAGGATGGTGAATGGTGTCCCATATGAAAGATGGTTAATGGTGTCTAAACATGCTCCATACTTAAGGTGGTGAATGGGCTCCAAACATGATCCATACCTAGGATGGGAATGGTGTCAAAACATGCCTCATACTCAGGATGGTGAATGATGTCCAAACATGCCCCATATGAAGGATGCTGAACGGTGTCCAGACATTCCCCATATGAAGGATGGTGAATGGTGTCCAGACATACTCAGTGAGAAGGATGGTGAATAGTGTCCAAACATGTCCTATGAGAAGGATGGTGAATGTTGTCCAAACATGCCCCATACTCAGGGCAGTGAACAGGATTAAAACATGTTCCATACTCAGGATGGTAAACAGTCCAAACAGTCCAGTGAAAACATGCTCTCATACTCCAAACATGGGTGGTAAATGGGGTCCAAACATGTTCCATACTCAGGATGGTGAATGGTGTCCAAACATGCCCTATGCTCAGGATGGTGAGCGGTGTCCAAACATGATCCATAATGAAGATAATGAACAGTGTCCAAGTATGCTTCATAATCAAGATGGTGAATGGTTTCCAAATATGCTTCATAATCAAGATGGCAAATGGTGTCCAAACAAACATGCTCCATACTCAAGATGGTGAATGGTGTCCAAACATGCTCCATACTCAGGATGGTGAACGATGTCCAAACATGCCCTATGCTCAGGATAATGAATGGTGTCCAGACATGCTCCATACTCAGGATGGTGAACGGAGTCCAAACATGCCCTATTCTCAGGATGGTGAGTGGTGTCCAAACATGCTCCATACTCAAGGTGATGAATGGTGTCCAGACATGCTCCATACTCAAGATGGTGAACAGTGTCCAAACATGCTTCATACTCAGGATAGCGAATGATGTCCAAACATGCTCCATAATCAAGATAGTGAACAGTGTCTAAATATGCTTCATAATCAAGATGGTGATTGGTGTCCAAACATGCTTCATACTCAGGATGGTGAATGGTTTCTAAACACGCCCCATAATCAAGATGGTGAATGGTGTCCAAACACGCTCCTTACTCAGGATGGTGAATGGTGTCCACACATGCCCCATAATCAAGATGGTGAATGGTGTCCAAACATGCCCCATAATCAAGATGGTGAGTGGTGTCCAAACTCAAAACGTTTTAAAAATAAAGAATAAATAAAAATATTAAACTAAACAGAAAAATAAAAGCACCAATAAATATGTAAAAAAAAAAACAAAAAAAAAAACCCCCCATGAAATGAAAAGTTTCTATATCAACGGTCAGGTAAAAACACACCTGCAACAATTCAGTGTTTAAACTTCTGCAAAGGGTCTATCCATATGACTCTCTTTGAAATAAGTTATGGTTTCTGTCTTTACCATGATTCACACCAAAGTCCATATAACAGTGCCCCTACGTTCATGAGTTGGATGCTGAGCACCAACAAAATGAACTGCGGCAGGCTTGTCGCAGTTAATTGGCCTCTGCAGATCCCGGACACTCTTATGTCCCTCCTATGCTTCTGAAACTGACACTTGAAGGGTCCGGTTGGCTTGCCAATATAGATGAAAGAACAAAGACAGTTCAAGAGATGAAAAACAATATATTTGTGCTGCAGTTAAAAAGATCACAAATAAGATACCTGTGACCTGAATGTGGAGGAGAAAATGTTGAACTGCAAATGAGAGCACTGCACCCGGTACATTTGTGTCATTTAATGCGACCTTTCTTCTCTGACATTCTAAATGAAGTTTTCTGGTACTTATCACAAGGGTTTGCTCCGATGAATGCATCTGTCAGATTTGTACTCTGTGTGAAGTGGTGGCTGTTTAATTTCAGTACAGTTTAAAATACATCTGTGTCTGTTCAGGCTACTTTCACACTGATCCGCTGTAAAAACATGGCAAAAACACATACACATTTTCGCCACGATTTTACCACGCTTTTGCCACACTTTCTGAGCATTTTGTAAAGGGCATGTGACTTAAAAACTGCACCAAAAATGTTTCTCAGAGGCGTTTTTGAGGCGTTATTCAGGCGCTTTTCAGGCGCTTTCTATTGATTTCAATGGGAAGAGGAGTTTTTGGGGTGTTTTTTTAACCGAAGAAACATGCTCCAAAGATGCTGCAAGCAGGAGTTTTTACACCGCATTGGAAGCGGAACGCCCCAGTGTGAACACATACATAGACTCTGCTCTCTCCTGGTTATCCTCCTACCTATCGCAGCGCTCCTTCAGTGTCACCTATAACGCTGCCTCCTCCTCTTCACTCCATCTTTCTGTAGGGGTACCTCAAGGTTCTGTCATTGGACCCCTTCTCTTCTCCATCTACACCTCCTCCCTTGGTCACTTGATAAACTCCCATGGCTTTAAGTACCATCTCTATGCCGACGACGACACACAAATCTATCTTTCTACTCCTCACCTCACCCCTTCAGTCTCCACTCGCATTACTAACCTACTAAGTGACATATCGGCTTGGATGTTACTCCACTTCCTCAGACTCAATCTTTCCAAAACTGAGCTCATACTATTCCCTCCAGCCCGTGCCCCCCTCCCCTGACTTCTCCATCACGATCAATAACACAATCATCAGTCCCTCCCCTCATGCCAGGGTACTAGGTGTAACCCTAGACTCCCATCTGTCCTTTCAGCCCCAAATACAATCACTGTCCAAATCTTGTAGACTTCACCTCCGCAACATCTCCAAGATACGTCCGTTCCTAACCTCGGAAACCACTAAGCAACTTATTCACTCCCTGGTTATCTCTCGCCTTGACTATTGTAACTCCCTCCTCATTGGCCGACCTCATAGCAGGCTATCCCCTCTTCAGTCTATCATGAACGCTGCTGCCAGACTCATCCACCTTACTAACTGTTCTGTATCTGCCACCCCTCTCTGCCAATCCCTCCACTGGCTTCACATTGCCCAATGGATAAAATTCAAAACACTAACACTGATGTATAAAACCATTTATAACTCTG